AGAGCCACCCTCTGGGGGAGATGGGTGGCATATAAATTTAATAAATAAACAAACAAACAAACAAATAAAGCACAGCTGAGAATAAATGCAATTTCTAGCAAATGGTTCCACAGTACGCAGAGAATAAAGCAAGAATATGTAATGTCCCTCTGGTTGTTTTAGTGTGTTTAAGGATAAATGTATACAGAATGCTTGTGGTGATATTTGGGATGTGTGGTTGTGGTCATGGATGTGTGTGTACACTTCTGTAGGCAGATCAAGCGTTGGTGGTAGAGAACTTGAATAATTTTAGTGAATATTAGACAGATTATATGATGCAACCAGCAGCATGGATCTGAAAATTATATGCATCCAAGATCAGAGTGGTTTTGTTTGACAGGGAAAATGCAGTGAATGATTGCAAGTCATTCTTAAATGGGGAAAAATTAGAGCAAGAAAATGAATTTGTCTACCTTGCCAGAATCTTTACTGAAGACTGGGAAAATGACTGGATAAATTTTAAGATATGCAAATGCTGAAGGAAAAGTAGTGAGTAATATGCGGCCTGTTTGGAGGAATGAATATTTGTGGTCTAAGAGTGCACTGCTGCCCACGTTGTTTTATGGAAGCGAGCGCTGGGTTTTTCAGGAACAAAACTTAAGATAAATTGAATGTAGTGGGAATGGGGCATTTAAGAAAGAGGGCGGTGAAATAAGAAGAGATTCGGCTGAGAACTCAAGGATGCTGAATGGAAGCGTATCGATGACCAAAGCGTGGGACCTGCTGGATAGAAGAACATACAGGTGGAGAATGAATGAGGGTCAAATAGCAGAACAAGCATTCGAAAGAAGAGTGATGGGTCCAGAGGCAGGGGAAGACGGGGAAAGTTGTGGTTGGATGACGTTGATGAGATCCTGAAGAGAGACAGAAGAAGTCTAATGGACAAAGAGCAAAGCATGAAGCAGTGCATGGAGACGTGGTGGAAGCAAGGAGGGTTTACAAAGGTGGAAAGGTATGAACAGCCACAGTGAACAGCTTTGGCTTAACTTTCCTTTCTTGCTTCTCAACCCTGCCCACTTGAAGATGTGCAGACATTTCCTCTGCTGATATGGATATCCAGGGAGGGTAGCGTGTTGCTGTTTTCTTCGTCCCTTTCCCGAGCTGGGTAATGAAATGTCTGCAAGCAAACGACCAAGCTCCGAGAGCCCAAAGGACTCCACAAGACCATACACTGCCCCTCTCCTGGGCAAGGGCTCTGCACGGCCCCCTCCCCTTCTCCCTTGCAATGGAGAATGGGCCTAATACGTTCTCGGTGCAAAGCAAGTGCTGTGGCACTAAAGCTACAGCCCTTCCCTGCAGGGAAAAACAAACGTTTTTCATTTTCCAGCTAACAGGAGGAACAGCTAGAGATATAGGTAAACATAACATTGTCTTCAAGTTGAGCTTAACGCGTGACTTCATGGCATTGCTTTCTCAGCAGTAAAACTGAAGTAGTTTGCCACTGTTTTCTTCCAGGGTATCCCCCCCCCTCCATTTCCTGGCCTACCCCACAGACCTAAGATTTCCTAGTGGTCTCCTGTCCTAGGACTAACCAGGCTCAACCCTCTTCAGCTTTTCAAGATCAGCCGGGATAAACTAGTTGAAACTCACAATTTCAGTAATGGTTTTCCGACATTCTCCATCAAATTATGGGGTAAAACATGGGGCAAACTGTTTCCCCAAACTTTGCTGGAGAAGGAGCCCATGAGAGCCGTCCCTCACAAAAACCATTCAGATTTAGGGGAAGTCTGGAAGGAAGGGCCAAAGAAGCTACAGACACCCCTTCTTTGGCACCTGGAACGGAGTCAGCGCCAGCACACCCCAACTTTCTCCAACTTTTCTCCAAAATTTCTTGGAAAGAATGCAAATTCTCTATCGGGGAAGGAAAACAGGCAGGAGATTTTGACATTGGTCCCTCGCAGAAGCCCCACTGAAAGACACAGGATTGGGGGCAACAGCCCGGCATCTTCTGCCCACTTCAGTGGGGGTGCAGAGGGCAAAGGGTCTCTGCCCCAGTTCAGGCCATGCCACTTGGAATATGCACATCTAGGACCCACTGCAGAGCCCCAAATGGTGGGGCCAAATTATGACCGTCTCGCCCCGGTTGTTTCAGCCCGCCCCACTCGGTCCAGCAGAAGGGGCAGGTTGCAGACCCCACCGGTCAAGGAGTTCTGATTGGTGG